AGAAACGCTTACTTACACGGATACACACACATAGAGAAACGCTTACTTACACGGATACACACACATAGAGAAACGCTTACTTACACGGACAAACACTTTGTTTTATCTTCCTGATTTGTTTTCTCTTCTAATCTCTCTTTAATTTCTATAATTCTACATATACTTTTTTCCCTCTAATTCTCTTGTTCTTTTATTTCTTCTTCCCACAATTAATCTCTCCTCTTCTTTCTTCCCTTCCTACAATTATATTTTCTATTCGTATTCCCTTCTCTTTCCTCTACTCTCCTTCTTTCCCTTTCCCCTCCTTCGCTCACTTATTTTCCAGCTTTATCTCCGTTTCCTCATCTTTATTTTTTTCCCAATTATCTCTTTTCCTCTTCATTTCCTTTTCATACATTCGTCATCATCCTATCCTTCATTTACCTTTTTTCTTTTTCCTTTTCCTCCTCCTCCATTTCCTTTTTGTCTCCATATTTCTCACACCCTCTTCCTTCTCCTCTTGTTTATCCTCTTCCCTCCTCTTTCCTCCCTCGTCATCTTCTCTCTTCCCTCTTCATCTTGCTCTCTCTTCCCTCTCCCTTTTTCCTCTACAGTTATTCCCTTATTCTATTTTCCTTCTTTCACATTCCTCCACCTCCTCCTCCTCCTCCTTCTCCTTCTTCTTCCGTTTTTCCTCCTCCTGTCCCTCTCCCCATTCTCTAGAACAGTATATCCAGAAGAAAAACAAGAATAGAAAAATGAAAATAAATAAAACGACAACTGAAACAGAAAAAAAAGATAATAATAATACAAAAAATATCGAAACAATATATCCAAGGGAATAAAATCAATAAACAAATAAGTAAGTAAATAAACATATAAATAAAAGAAAAGAAAAGAAAAAAATAGATTGCACGCCAACACACACCACCCACACGCTGTCTCGTTGTGCAACCAGTTCGCAATCATTTGCAGACATCCACTCGATCCCTCTTCAACCCCCCCCCCTCCCCCCCCTCTGCCGTGTTGCATCAGGGTGGAGAAAGCACCAGAGGTGAAAAATCCTCTTTGCAATAGCGTTGCTAAAATCAGCAGTTTGCAAAATCAGGGACAGACTGGCGGACTTGCAACCTCCCTTTGTGTCATTGTACACTGATTCTGCCCATTGTTATCATCTTTGTTGTTGTTATTGTTACTATTATGATTATTGCAGTGACAAGAGATAATAATTATGATGATAATGATGATGTGATTGATGATGATGATGATGATAAGATAATGATGATAATAATAATAATAATGATAATGATAATAATAATAATAATAATAATAATAATAATAATAATAATAATAATAATAATAATAATAATAATAGTAATAATAATAACAACAACAATAATAATAATAATAATAATAATAATAATAATGATAATGATAATAATAATAGCACTAATAATAAGGAATATAATAATAACAACAATAATAATAAGGATGATGATGATAATGATGATAATGATGATGATGATAATAATAATAATAATAATAATGATAATAATAATAATAATAATAATAATAATAATAATAATAATAATAATAATAATAATAATAATAATAATAATAATAATAATAATAATAATAACAATAATATTAATAATAATAATAGTAATAATAACAATAGTAATAATAATAATAATAATAACAATAATAATGATAGTGGTGATAATAACAACAATGATAATAATGAATATAATAATGATAACAATAATGATAATGATAATAATAATAATAATAATAATAATGATAATGATAATGAAAATAATAAAGATGATAATAATCATGACAAGATAATAACAATAAGGACTATAATAATAATAATAATAATAATAATAATAATAATAATAATAATAATAATAATAATAATAATGATAACAACAATAATAATTATAATAATAACAACAATAATAATAGCAATGATAGTGATAACAATAACAATTACAACAACAACAATAATAATAATAATAATGATAATAATAATGATAATGATAATAATAATAATAATAATAATAATAATAATAATAATAATAATAATAATAATAATAATAATAACAATAATATTAATCATAATAATAATAATGATAATAATAATAATAATAATAATAATAATAATAATAATAATAATAATAATAATAATAATAATAATAATGATAATAATAATAATAGTAATAATAATGATAATAGCAAAAACAATAACAACAACAACAATAATAATGATAATAATTATAATAGTGATGATAAAAGAATAAACAAAAAGGATTGCGCCAACAAGTATAATAAACTGTAAATGATCAAGTAAATCGCAAAGAAAAGATAGGCACATATCGAACACGACGATAAACATATGAAGCGATTAAATAAAGAATTAAATAGGAGTTACTCACGGGAATAAATACACGATACAGTAAAAAAAAAAAAAAAAATAAACAGGTAAACAGTAATCAGTAGTTACAAGGAAAGTACTCAC